AGTCCGGGGTACAGTTGTGTCGGGGCTGCTAAGTACTCACGTGATCTCTGATGCCGCACCATTTTCACGCAGCAACCGTTGCAGGTCATTAAGGGAGGTTGGTCCCTTGGTAGGGCCGTATAGTTGAAGGGATCCTGCATAATTACAAAAAGTATCATTTTAATACACTATACATAGTCCGCATCCATTGTTTTTATCACTACCTTGCAGCGGGCATCTGTCCAGGAGTCGCACTCATAGCAGTAAATCGATCGCGCTATATGAAAAGATATCTCGTTATTATCAACTTTCGATCATAGTACGCTACTCTGCTGATCTTCGGACTACTTGGTTAGGTTTAGGTTAGGTTAGTTTGGGTACAGGAATGCCAGAACGTGCAACATACAAAAGCATGCCAAGAGTTGCCAACGCAAACAAACAGCAGGCAGAAAACATTTATCGATATAAATTCTTTCCAAATGTTGAACAACAATTTTTTCTCACTGAAATACATTGCAAAGAAATATGTACAAAACAGAATACACATTGATGTCTTAGGATGTACTAGGGTTCTATTTTATGAAAAAGTGTCATTTAAAGCATGCACGCACTCTCCCATATGAAGTATACAGGCATACAGAGGTAAATATAATGTAAATATCGTTATTCCGGGTATAGTTTGTTTCAGATCTTTGACCTGTTTGATGATCTTTGATTCTAAAGAAGCTATTTTGTTCCGAAACTCCCTTTACCACAGACTTTAACCTCATTTAATGAATTTTTAGAGGGTAGTACGAATATTAAACTGAATAAAGAATGCCGAATGGATGTCGAAAAGCTTTTGTGCCAAACAAACTAGGGAAAAAGTGCAAACGAAAGATAGGTGAAGTTAGGAAAAAGGTAATGGGGATGCCCCAAAGAACTGAATGGATATTGGTGGCATAGCTTTAGGAGTAGAGGAGATAGCCTTAATCTATCGGCAGATCGAGCTTTGAATACGAAAACGATAAGATCTTGAGTAACACTGATAATCCAAAAATATTTCTTATTCATGGCGAACTCGAAATAAACCGACTCGAGTTAGTTAGAAATAGATTGTACATATACTTATGCATGACTCTTATTTTTTTTATATTTTGGCAAAAAGGTAATCGATGGGTTTAAGCAAAAGGTTTCTGGTTTGGAAAGGCAATGGACTCATACTTTGACATTCGGCTGAGGTCTGCGGAATCCATATGAAAGTTAGAAATCCGATAACGGCTGCAAATAAATAATGGAAGAGAGAGAGCAAAGTAGAAGTGGGCAGTAGAAGGAGCACAAACCAAAGATACAAAATCAAGGGGCTTGGGTTTTAATTGGGCACCAGACTATGCCCCGTGCCAGGTACAGTTGATCCCTCAGCTTGTTCCGATTCCGCATTTCCCCGAGCAAGCACAACTGTACCTGTCATTGAGTTATCAGCTGACTTTGGGTAAGTTTGAGGGGAAAACAGTAGTAGTTGGTGGGTGAAATGTTAACACTACACACGTTGGGAATTACGTTTACACCGCACACAAGGTTCCGATGCCATTCGACTCCACCGCCTTCTCAAATATGAACATTACCAAGGTGACAGTGTTGTATAAGGCAAAGAGGAAAGACTTTTTACAAATTACGTTTACATATTGGTGTTAACTTCACTGCAAATCAAGACGCATACGTGTTGTTGTTGGATGTGACCAGGAATATGCAATATATATGGGTGGATAGAATGTATAGAGTACAGACAGCTGCTTACAGTCGATATAAAACGGCATTTACAATCAACGGCACGTACGAAACGAAACCAGAAATGAAAACCAAACCAAACTCAAATCGAACGCAACAATTGCTTTTCACGTTTTTACAGGGGATTATTTTCTTTTTAGATTAGTACAAAAACTGAAGGCAATTCTGTTCAAATCGAATGGGGAAATCATACGCAAAACGAAACTTACTTGGAAAACAATTATCGGTGGTAGCGAATTTTGCCAATGCCAAAAAAACTATATGTATTTTTTGTTACCGATGGAAAATGAAAAATAAAAATAATGTAAAAAATGTTTTCAATCAAATTCAATTGAATTGTTAATGGCTTAGCAGCTAAACAAATGAAAATCAATCATCTCGGTGCCTCATCTAAACAATTTCAATTCGATCGATCAGCTTGCTCTTGAATGGAACTCACCAACTTATTCACATTAATGCGGTTCTTTTTACTTAGTGTGTATAATAAAATATTGTATAAATATATATGTTTTTGGAACTGTAAGTTGAAAATATCCTTGCGGAATTCGTTTCCTCGAAAAAATCGAAATCAACATTTTCTTTCTTGTTTTCCCTACACTACACCCTCTGTTTGTTTTATTACTGATGAAGCAAATATATATCGTTATCCACTAAATTCTTTGAACTGTGCTGGAATCTAATTTTATGTCCCATAAAGCAGCGAGAAATTATGCTGGCCATTCGGTTTCATATTCGGCATTTGTTTATCACTCAATTCGAAAAGGTGTTGACCTTTGTTCATTAATATTTGATGATCATTTCTCGGACTAAAACTGAGTGCTTGTTGATGTGTGTGAGGATGGATGAGTGAAGGGTTTACCTGTTAATACCAACAGCCAATTGCCAACTGCATTTCTCTGCGTCCACATCTTGCCGCTTTTCCGCCTTTCCACCCACCTGGAATGATTTATTTAATAATCTTTTTAATGTCTTATCAACTGCTGCTTACTTGGAGTGGGCCAAATATAACTCAGTTTATACTGTATGCTGTCTGCAGTTTGCACTCACTTCCTGTTCCTGTAGCCAAGCATTATAATGCCGTCACTAAAAGTAATTATTAGTCATATAAAAATTCAATTTAAATAATTTATTTAAATATTTATAATATCTTAAATTCACGGTTTCTTAAGCAGAACTTTTTTCCCGTCCGTATGTTATTTTATTTATTTATATATGCCTAAATTTGACTTACAGAAATTCCAGCAAGTTTTCCCCCGAACGTGTCCTATTTTAAGTCCCCAGTGTTTTCCCACAATAGCATGGGATGCACAAAGATTAACACTTTCCCGAACTGTGACCAACTCTGGTTTCCCAACTTTTATGGCGCGTTAATGGTGCACACGGGCGAGGGTCGACCCATGAGTTTCGATGAGTTGATTTGTGGCGATGCTTTAAGTTGCCACGGAACAGCCTCACATGCGTACGTCAATATGACAATCTGAATATGTGGCGTATATATAGACCGCATAGATATAAGTGGATCAAAAACATGGCTCTAAAAATAGAGTGGCACAACCTCTAATAAGTGTTCTAGGTCAATGGGTGTGAGTGTTGGTGTTCAAGTCATGGCTGCTGCTGATGTCAATGGTTTCTGGGCACCCTGGGATTGACCGGCGTTTCCGATGCTCACCATGTGGTATGTCATATCATATCTTTCGAATTTCACACGCCGCTCTGCACTTTACACACTTTTTGTTCGCTTTGGCTGAATTTATTGTGGCATTTTTTGCATTGAACTTTGGCAAAGTGTCAAAATACTGCGAGGGCGGGCGAACAGAAAAGCGAGCGGAGCGCAGACCAAACTATTTATATTTATATGTATGCCACTGCTAAGAATATTCTTTAGGCGAGTGAAAACCGCTGGGGATAACTGACTAATTGGTACCTATTGGTAGTGCGGTTGCTATAGTTTTTAAGTACGAAATGCTGACCCATTTACTTATAACCCTGCGAGATTTAATCCAATAGACTTTAAGTACTTAAATGAGTTAAATGCTGATATTGATGTATACATCCATTGACATCCATTGATCTGCCAACTAATATGCCCCTTGATATCGGGGAGCATTAAACTAGCGCCGTCCATCGATCTTTTCAGGTTAAGGTTTTGGCTTGCCTCCTACCAATTTAGAACAAAGTCTTGCCACCATGGAAGCCACTAAGCAAACTACACTGCACTAAAGCTAGTAGAATGTGGTATTTCACTGGTATTTGGGTCAAATTGTGGTGCCCGTGCAACAAGTGTTCGCAATGCCACCCTTTTAGCGATGATTATAGCTGCCGATCACATTTCTGGCCATTCATCAAGTTTTAATGGCTCTAACGAGCTAATTGCACAGTGGGTCAAATGCAGAGCAGGGCTTCAAGTGGCCTATTTTTAGACCTTTGCACCGCTTAAGTACTTGCCTTTAATGCCAGTTACTACTGGCCAACTGAATTGGAGTCCTCGTTCATGTTTGACTGCCTGGCTGCTTTCGGTGGCCCAGACACACGCGAGTATTGATTTTGTGTGGTGTGTTTACACGACGCTGCAGCCTCTCCACTTTCCCAGCACTTTCCGCTTTTCCTTTCCCTTCGTTTCACGCTTTTCCGGGTCGGTTGGGTCGCTGTTTCATAAGGTGTTGCCGATTCTCGAATCGATGGGCCAGCTTAACTTGGCCAACTTGTGCTCTTAGCCTTACCGAGGTCTGCTGCAATTTGCATTCGACCCTCGCCGTGGTCTCGGTCGCTTTTCCGTCGATTGGTGACTTTTCCCTCACTGCTTTGCTATTGATTTGGCCCACAACACTTAGTGCATCGCTTCGCCTTGATTTTCCACTGGCTCTTCAATTAACCGTGCACACTTGCCAATCATTTAATTCACTAAGTCGAATAATTTAACAATTGTTGAACAATAAGTTGTGGCCAATTTGTGTCGATGGCCTTTTTTATTTGTTAATTTTGTAATTTATTTAGCAGGTCACACGCAACGACATTGCCAACGGCGGAGACGACTGCGGATTTTCCGATTTTCCCTTAACGCTTTTTGACAGTTTTGGCGCATGACGCTTTTGCCGTATGCTGCCACGGAGCTTTTCCGCATAGCGAGTGTTGGAAAACTCGGCCGGAAAAGCTCACAGCATAAGCTTTTCCTGGCGCTCTTTTCGAAGTTGAAAAACCAAGACAAATTTCAGCTAGTCATCAAGACAATATTTTCCAATGCAATAACACATGTATTTCAGTTACTGATTTCCACTTTATTGTGAACGCTTGAGAGTACAAGTAATGTTGTTGTCGACTTTAGGGCAGCTTACACATTAAATATTAGTTAGTTGAAAATGAACTTTCCATGAATAAATACATAAATACACACGAACGTAGAAGAACACGACATGGGCATGTTAGACACTGAAATGAATGGATTAAGCAAACAGATCTCATCTGAAACAGATCTGTTCCCAGATTCGAGTCGCATAGGATTCCTTATATCTAGGCGTAGTCGCGGGCTCCCTCCAGTTTGCGCATCTGCAAATAAACAAATTGCCATAATAAACATTTAGTTGGCTAAATAAACAGGGATGCAAACCGATCGAGATGGTGGACGGGTTCGGTGGATAGGATTGAAGATTTTCTAAACCAATGCTAGCGGTTCACAAAAGCGGCTTAGATTTTTAGAGATTTGCGTGCAGGTCGTATAGCTTTAGTATACGAATATCTGCTGCTAAAGCGATAGAACATAACACATTTAAAAGTAATAGTTTAGCGAGATATGGACAAATGGTTCGGGTTGCGATTCGGTTTGCATGCCTGAAATCAAGTAATTTGGGAGTATTTACAATGCAAGTGTGAGTGAGTGTTTGTGTGTGTGTGTGATGGGTGTGTCTGTGTGTGTGTGTAATGGGTGGGTGGGATCACTGATCAGTAGAAGGACTCCTCGCTCCAGGCGCTTATCAACCTGACTCTCACCTCGCGTTCATCGGCGTGCGTTCGGTACTTCTCGGACGCCTCGTTCGCCTTCGGCACGGGCTTCGCCTCCAGGACCTGGGTGTAGAGCAGGGCGGCTGCCACGCCCCCCAGCACAGGTCCCACCCAGTACACCCAATGCGATGCCCAGATGTCGGTGGCAAAGGCGGTGCCCACGGTGCGAGCGGGATTCATGCTGGCCCCGGTGTACCGAATGGTGCCCAAGTGGCCCAGGGTCACCGCCATTCCGATGGCCAGTGGCGCCGTGTAGCGGGAGTCCGGCTTGTGGGGATCGCAGGCCCCAAACACGACGAGCACCAGCAGGAGTCCCAGGAAGAACTCGATTCCCAGGCCCTGCAGCTCGGTGATGTTGGGCGCCAGGGAGGTGTGACCCAGGCCATTGTAATAGTCCTGATCGATGAGAATCTATGGGTTGGGTGCACAGAAAATGTTAGATAAATGTTACATTAATTCGAAAAAGAAATTTGTATTCTAATGCATAATTTATTGCAAACTGCTGTAACGCATTTGTTTTTTAGTTGACTCATTTTAGGGAGCTTTGCCCTCTGTTGAATTATCCGCTCATTGAAATGTTTAGCTTTGTTTTTATAAAACTAATCCAGAAAATGCGAGTGTTTGATCAAGGCACTTCACTCATCGCCCTTGCCTACATACTTGACATTGACATATATGTATGTTATACTTCAAATCGACGTAGCCGTATCATTTATCCACTCAACGAAAGAAAGCTGTGGTCAAAACACAAGTCATTTTTGACCGCAAGCGGATGTGGGGCAATCAAGAACTTAATAACATGTATGTACATGTGTGAGGCATTTTGAGTAAGCGAGATAATTTTACATTTTTGTTTATATACAACTTGCAACCTTTTGCAAGCTCAAAGTTCTTATCGAATGAATGTTTAAGAAAATAGTGCAAAAGTTTATTTGAACTGATCCATTGAACTGAATACCTGTATTCACTTTTTTGAAAACTGGGTGACGAATTCAAAAGGAAATTGGCTAGTTTCGTTGAGTACTTTGTTGAGTACTATATATTAGTATTGATTTCACTGAGACATGTGCATGTAATGCCTACCTTAACCGCTGCAGTTCCAGCAATGGCACCCAAGCACTGGAAAACCACGTAGAAAAAGGCTCTGATCAAGCTAATTCGTCCTGCGACCAACATTCCAGCGGTAACGGCAGGATTCACATGGCCGCCACTCAAGTGGCCCACAATCTGCAAGGAAACATAGTTATGAGTAATGTCGCAGTTAAAACAGCACCTGGGGAACCCACCGTGATGGCCATGAAGATGGCCAGGCCGAAAGCCAGGGCCTTGAAGGTGCCATCCTCGATTTGGGTGCATGCACCGCAGGCAAAGAAATTGAGGATCAGATTGCCCAGGAACTCTCCAATCAGCGCCTGCCACAATCGCAGCTCCTTGGATTTCAGCTGGAATGCACATAAAAAGGTAGGTAATTAGCTTACTCAATGTTATTATCATCTAGTATTTCCTTTAAACTTTGAACTCCGAACTCACCTCATTGAGACCCAGCGAGTACTCGAACTTTCCCATCTTCTTGGCTTCGCTTTCCAACTAAAACTGACGGACTGAAAGAAAACAGGGAAAATCAGCGAACGATGTGTGGTAGTTAATGCAAATGGCAATCCAAAATGCAAATGGATATGTGTTTGAAAATGGACGTGGACAATTCTCAGACTCGAGCAGGTATTTAGCCGCTTTTATCACTCATTTAAGGTGCGATATTGTTTTGGCCTTTGCTGACAGCCTAACAATCTGCATTTCCGCTGCAATTGTCTCGTTGCCTAATTGGCCGACACTTTTGCCTGTTCGCCAATTGGAAAAGTCCCAGTTTTGCAATTCAGTCAGAAAATGTCAGTGCCAAAAATGTTCAAGCTTTATCCGAGTGTCGTGAAATGTGGGTAACTGGAGGCAATCCTCCTCTTAACTCGACGACACCCATCTTATCGGCAATTGCAGCTGCAAGTGAGACTATATTTAAGCAAACAAAGTGTATAATATTTAATTGGCAACGAGTCATAAAAGCGCGATAAATATTTGAGCACAACGCCGTCGGAAGAGGGAACAGCACACTCGAATGAGTGTTTAACCGGCGGTTAAGGGGTATCAGAGGGTCGAGTTGCTAGGCCTGTTTTAGAGTGTTCTAGAGTGGCATCAGTGGAAAGCGTTTGCTTTGCTCTGCTTATTTGGCGCAATGCGGTCACGAACAGGCCAAAAATGGGCTAAGACTGGTTGACCATGCCCCCACACAGTGAACATCAAGAGCTTCAAAACATATGTACATATATATAAATTAATTTATATTGCATATATCACGTTGAATATTCCATTTGTAATCAATCAGTGGAGCGCCCAATGTAAATTCCCATTTTGTATGCTCGCAAATCTGAGTACTTACATTTCTAATGCAATCTTAATGAATTTCGTGTTTCATTTGCGTCATCTACGAGTAGGAGTATGAGCCCCTATCGATATCAGCCAATAGACTCAAGTGCTGTGATATGAAAACGCGAGTTCCATTGCTTAATTGAGGTGCAGGGGGCGCTGGATGGCAGATAGTAATTGAGTTGACTTAAGGTTGGGCCCACGGATCAGTGGAATGCCTGCAATGGAGCAAAAATCTGCCCACACAACTAATTCCATTGACTGGCGGCTCAGGAAAAGTGGATGAAAAGCTGGGACTTCCAATATTTGTCATCGCCCGTTAATCATCCACTGTAAGTACAGATTGAGCGTGTAATTGTAATCTTTATTAGTTTCTATGAAATGCTTTAATTGGCCAGCTACTAACTGACATTCCATAGTGCGGACTCACAGTTGCTGATTATCTCTGTGGAGCTAATGGGAATGGTTAAATGGTGTGGAGCCTCGAGTTGCTGGATCCTCGAATGAAAATCTAAGCAATTAATCGGCTCTGATTAGAGTTTGCTTTGCGATTACTGTGGAGCACTATTTATGGATGATAAGCGTGTTTTATAATTGCAAACCCCATAGCCCAGTACCAATTCTGGAATTTTCAATAGCGCGTTAACAAATATGGCTATTTGGCCGTGTATGAGTGGGTCCGTGCCAATTCGCATAATAGCCGCACAATAAAGTAAAAGTTTGCTCAACAAATTAACACAAATGGCGAGAACAAAACCCACATAATTCACACAATTCACATAATTCGCACACCCAGCCAAGTCGAATGCATTTCAACGCATTTCTGGCTGATTTTCGTCATTCGAGGCATTTTTGTGACTTTTGAAACGTGTATGAACAACGGGTTCATGAACTTGAACTCACGCCGAATTCAATCGAAAGGCGGCGAAAAATGTGTTCCAATAAAGTGTAATTAAATGCAAATATTTAAGAATGTCGTTAAGAAACAGCGCCGCACACAAAGACATTCGTCACTAATTAAGAGCGATAAAAACGATGCAGATAATAATAAATATTTCGGGAATAAATATTTCGTTGCTGCGACTGATGAGCTAATATCTTTGAGTTTGCTTCCATGATGTATTTTCATGGACCCTGAAAGCGAGTACACAAATTATCTTGACCACCTTTCAAGTGATTTCGGTACTATTGCCGTTTTGAGTAGCATTTAGTGGCATCAAAGTGATTGCCAAGTAGTGATGTATTACCCATATGGTAGTCACCTGACATCTGCCTATTCTAGTGTTATTTCAAAAAGTTTAGTGACTATTAACTTTGGCTAAAATCAGGGAACATGTTTTCCTGTACTTGATTTTAATGCTCTTTTAATTGTTGTATGTGGGCTAGCCCCAATTGCGTTTGTCGGCTGACGATATAGACGTTTGCAATTGTTTGCCGCAACTTTGTCACTTAAAAAGCCATAAAACTTACTTAAGCCTTCAATTTGTATGCAACGCCGAGCGTGGAAGGGGCAGGAGTGATAAAAGTGGGGGAAAATCACATACACAGAAGCAATTGCAGAGTTAATAGCCCAAACTCCCACACGTGTTCGGGGCCACAGTGAAGCCCGGCTGTTGGCGGACAGGGCGTACCAATTACCACATCAGATTGCTGCGGTCAAACCATCAATCACAAGTGTCAGATGTGAAGCGAACTGAATGCCCCAAAGCTCTGTAAGCCCCATTACCCATTACCATATCATGGGATCATGGCATTGCCCTGCCTAATTAACAATTAGCCATTGAACACAATACCAAAAAATATAGAAATCTTAAAAGCTTAAACAGATCGCACGACCGCATCGTTTCACGCAACGCTGCTTTCAAAATAAAAGCACAATAAAATGTCCCAAAGTTGTGGGCACATTTTTAAATGCACATCTTTTGGCACGAAGACTATATATTCTATATTCGCGGCTTTTAATTACTCGAATCGCGCTGGCGGACTAAAGTAAAAATTGTACATAAATTGCTATATTTTTACGATTGACACATGCGGGGGCAGTCTAGCCCATTTCTGAAAAACAATAACAAGAGGAAGGCGATCAAAGTAGATTTGATGAATTGCGAAGGGAGGGGTAGAACAAAATGCAAAACGGTATTACAACATTAGTTTCAGTGCACAGGAAGAAATTAAGGTAAATATACTGCATGACTGCCTAACATGAAGAAAATTTAAGGTGTTACTATTTAACTATTCAAGCATGACTGAGATTCAAGTAATTAATAATATTAAATTCTAATTAAATATAAACAACTTGGAAAATTAAATCCCATTAATATAAAATTAAGTTTGAAAAAATTCCATTAAATATAAAAAACTCAGAAATAACCGACTTTCGATTGAAAAAAGTTTTTAAATTTTTTGTTTATTCCACTAGAAAAACGAAACAAATATATAAAACATTTTAAAACCCCTTATTATTCCAGGACATATGATTCGATTAGATCTGAACTCATTCAAAAAAGCATAATCATATATCGCTGGAATATTAATTTTTTTGATGTGCCCATTTTGAGTGGATGTTCTTCATGCAATTTCATGATCACTTTCAATTAGAAGTTTACCTTGTTTTGTTATTAGCTCACTTTGGCACCTTTGCACCTGCTTACGAACTTGGCTTAACGGCAACAACAACAACGGCAACAACAACAACAACCAACACCTAAACTTGCACTTAACAAATACTGAATTCAATTTGGCAGGAATTCCAGCTCACTCCTCCAGCGATCCGCGCACTTTGACTCGACGACAAAAACTGCGCGACCGCGTTTGGCAGCAAAAAGCCAAAGGCCCCAAAAACGGTGACGCAGAAAGAGAGCGGCGTACAAAGAGAGGGGAAAGAGAAAAGCCCATGCGAAGAGCGCACAGATTAACAAAATATTTATTAAATAATTAAGAGCTCAATAAAGCTTAAAACTAAGCATGTGTATTAACTGCATGCTAGATAAATGTGTAATTTATATTTAAAAAGAAATTCGTTTTCACGGGCTTTCGAAAATTCTTGCAATATAAGTTTAGTGTTAAGAAAAACAACTTATCTTTTACAGTTATAAGACTTTATAACCATAAAATCTTTATCGATGTATCCAAACTATCCAAACTTTAGAAAGGATATGAATTCGAAATTGCTTGGATGCGCGGGCGCACCGCTTGAAAACCCAACATAGCAGGCGCAGAAACTCACCACGCTCCACAACGGCCAGCCAAGACACAAACCCTGCGAAATTATTAATTTGAAAATTGCGACCAATCAGCTAATTTATGAACTGCAAATAGTTATTTAGGGGTAATATTTACACCCCCACCCATCATTCACGTCAGACAGTGACGCTTGCAGAAAAGTTTCCATTGCTTTTCGGTGTTCTTATCAAACAAATGGGCCCAGAAATCACAACCAATTTCTTTAATTAATTTAGTGTACGCCAAGCAGAGAAGACTGAACTTTTCCACGACATTTTGACGTAAGATCAAAATCACTTTATCTTTATTGGTGTTGTCTTCGACGTTTATTTTCCTTTTTAAATGAATAACTGGAAAATTGTGATCGCAGATCAGAAATCCAAGCACACTTTTATGAGGCCGCCATAAATGCGTTTGATTACAAATTTATGACTGTGAGCTTGGTGTAAAATAAAGAGTATTCGTATAATATAAGTACAATTTAAGAGTAGAAGTGACCGAGCGGGTGCACAGAAAACATTTTAATTATACAATGGGCCCAAAGTTTTGAATTTGTTCGTCATTTATATATTAAAAAATAGCTAAATATTCTTAAAAATGTATATAATTTAAAATTTGTGTATATAGTGCAGGGAGTGCAGGTGTTTTCCTGGTGTTTAAAAGTTTATGTCACGTCTTTTTTAGACTAGTGATTTTGGCTTAGATTAAGAGCATCACTTAGCATTATCTTAAGGCTTCTAGATTAGAAACGTTAAAGTAAGGAGTATGTGTACTTCACTAGTAGGTATATTTAAATAAAGGTTACTGATAACAGGAATGCGGATACGGGTACAAAAAACACGAGTCATGAGTGGGAATCAAGGCAAAGGCACAATCACACTTCTCTTCGAATCGGATTGATAACCTCCTCCTACTTAAATAAACGAATCATTTGCATTCAACTACCAAAGCTCGTAGTTCTTAATAGAAGTTCACAATTTGAATTTCATGTGTCACGGAAACTACAGAAATTTTGGGCTGTTTGATAATTGTGCTTATCATAAACGACGAATGTGTATGAAGTTGAATCATACATGTGGTTATATTTGTATGGACGGAGAAACAAACAAGTATAAATCATTTTCGCAACTCCCCTTAAATCATGACACACAAAATACTTGCCGTAGATCAAGATCCTTTCTGATTTACATGAAGCAAAAAGAATACTCCTTTCCTGCGACAAAAAGGAAAATCTAGTACACTTTTCAGTTGAATGGAAATGTATGAATCGGTGGACTCCTCCTGACACTTGACTCCTGACACCTGGGCAACGCCCACTTTTCAGCCGGCACACACAATAGTCCTGCGATGACCTTGGCCCGACATTGCGCCCATTTGCATATGGCCTGTAATCCTGTGGCGGGGCTGGGCTTTTTGCTTATTTTTCCGCTGGCATGGAGCTCCAATGTGAAATATGGGAAAGCAAAGTAATTGTGTCCTGACTGGCAAAATAATAAATTAGAGTTGTCCGGTCATAGCGCCCCCGAGTGGGAAGCCATTAATTAAATCAGACATAGCTGGAATTTAAAGCTGGCAGTCGCACAGTGCCGTGATCTGGGGAATGGGCCTTTTTCAATTTAATTAGTCAACAAAGCTAAGTTAGAACTAAGTTGTAGTTTCCCCACGTTCTTCTAACCACCAACTCCTTGAACTCCACTAGCTACATGCTGCCTAAGATATATACTGATAAATCAGAGTGCATTATCGGATCGGTCACTTCCGCAACTGTGTATAAAATTAGTTGCTGATATGATACCAAAGATTTGATAAAATGCTTGAAAAAGTTGTCTGTGTTGCTTTCGACATTTAGCGGCTTGCACTATTTTCGCTAACTTAGTTTTGTTAGTATTTTAGAGTCAAGTGTGCCTTGATTAGCGCTTAAATCACATTGCGAAAACCTCGGCACATCTGCGATGGCTTATCAGCAGCGGACCTAAGCAAATTTCCAGCAATTGCCATTTTTTATGTGCCCATTACCGTTCCCCATCTTAATGGGCTCTCGATATAGAACACGTACGCCATCAGTCAACAAAGCAAAAAAGGAAGACAAAAAAATCAGCTAAAAAATTGAAAACAAAACAAATCGTTCTTGATGTATTTTTATATAAAACAAAAGCCAGTGCGAGAACAAAAAACGAAGAAGTTGGGTAAACACAAATAGCAAATGGTACGAGTACAAGTACAAGTACAAGTGCTTGTGTCAATCAATACTGGAGTGCTGCGAACTTTTCGAGTTTTCGTATTGGACAGCTGCGATGGAGCCTTTTGTTCTCTGCTTAATTACCTGCATTTTTTGGCCGGCACGCGCTTCCACATCCACATCCACATCCACATCGCTCATACGCAGCGTGTACACCGCGCATGCTACAGGAAGTGAGTATACGCCTCGTGTGCCCGAATGGGGCAACCTTAACATTTGAACATTTGGCTGCGAGCTGTGAGCTGGAGTAGATCCATCTGCGTTCCATGGGCAGGCAGAATGCGGCATTCTGGGGCCCGCATAAGATTCAAGATTCGTTGCTGCGAAAACTGTGCGAAATATTTCCCACGGCGCATGCGTGAAGACAACGCAAAGTCAACAACGACAACAATATCGAGCTGAGGTTAGTCATGGCTGCAAAAATATGATGGAGTCTCGAGATCGCAATGGAGACGGAGATGGAGATGTAGATGACGATGGAGGAGAGGCCAGGCACGGCGACAAGCGACTGAAAATGTGCAAAACAAATAGCTCAACGGCAATCCAACATTTCGAATCGGACTTGGACGAGGCTTGCCAAAAACAATAACGAGAACCGCAAGAGCAGACACAATAAAGCCAAACGCCAAACGCCAACAGCCCCAAGCGGCCTTATTGAAACATAGTGTGATACACGCGTACAGTGAATGCTGGCTGGCGCGGATGCTGAAATGGAAATCAGTGCTGTGGCACATTTATCCGCTAGTTATTAGTAATAAACGACAGAAAGGAAAGAAATGAAAACATAAAAATGAAATGAAAGACGAAAAATGATATGACCCAGTGGGGAATAGATATTACTTGTATTGCCAAAGAGGCTTGAAGATTGTATCAATTTAAAGTACTTGCATTTTGCTTGGGAATATAATAGAGTTCTGCTTTCATATATATATCTACGAAATATCTACAGGCTCTTAAGTATTATGGAGCAGAGCTTGCAAGACCACTGTACCTCAGGTGTACCACACATCACGCCTGGAAAACCCATCTGAGTCTGAATTTGCATAGAGCACAGTTTTGGACTTGGGCCCTCACGCATCTCGTAGCCTCAGAGTTTTGCAGCGGGCCACTAACCAAGATTGATGGAGTGTCAGAAGGTGGAGATAGAGCATCGCAGCTGGGCTGGAGGGACAACAAAATGGTGCGACATTGACCTTTATTCCATTTTTGGCTGCGCGGCTCGGGCCAAATCAATCACGGGCTCCCAGTTTTGCCACCTGATTGAACCAATTTCGGGCCATTTCAGTTTCCACCGACTCATTGGCGCTCATTGTGCCCCAACAAAACTCATTTCAATTCGTTTATTAGCCGCCCCCATATGGAGTTTGCACCCATTCGGCTCGAGATTATCATCGTTTCTCCCTGTGCGCGCTTACACATTTGTATACTATACGTATTTGTTTTCTTTATATTTATGTTTATACTCGCACACATTATTTTCCTCTTCTTTTTCGGTCCACTTGGCGATCGTCCGTCATTTTCAGTTACAATTGCCAATGTTTCAATGTCACTGGAGTCCGCTTACGGTTATTATTGTTACCGTATTTCGAATTGCTTTCGAAGCATCGCAAGTGCCAAGTGCAGAGAAAACAGATAATTGCACACAACTGAAAACTGAATTAAATTTAATTTGGATTTGGTAATTGCAGCGACCATTTAAATGATTTATGTGGATTTGCATGGGCCGCAAACGAACTCGATTCGGTTCATTCGGAAAGAGCATAGTTTAATATTATTTTCAGAAAAAGTTCTACAAATACTATAATATTGTGAAAGCAAATAATTGCTTCCAATGATTTCTATTGGGTTTTTACTAAATTAAATGGTTTTATTAAAGTTTATCCCAGCTATGTTACAAACCTAACGCAGATCATCTAAATGACAACTAAACAACAATTAATGCGACTCTAATTTGATGATTTCAACCATTCCCATCTAGTTCCCCGATCAAATTATGCCTTCAATTGGTTTTCGATCAAATTACACCTTCAAGTGGGTTTCTTTGAGCGAACTCTTGGGAGGAACTCGTTGGTGAATGAAACCCCAGATGAAAGGATCAAGATCTATTGGTAACTCGACGGGCATATGCGAGTACAGCATCTCCATGGCGGCGATTATTATCTCGCCCATTTAGCCAGAGTTCGTGCCATTTTAATGGTTAACTGGCATTAAGTATAATTACTCATTAAAGCAACAAAGCGAAGGCACAAATACTCGTAAGTCCGTCTGCGATTTGGCTCTGGGCTCTTGTTTTCATAATGGGCCGAGACGCTTCCACAAACAAAATCGCAGCTCTTGGCTGCCAGTGTGCTTTTATTTTGGTTTGTCACTTGTTTTGTCAATAACTCGCAACTGTTGCTCTGTTAACAGATAAAAATAGCCAGCGACGACGTCGAATACAAGGTAAAAGCACTTTTCCCCAGCCAAAGCGCCACAATCAATAGGGCATATTAAAGTTGTGGAAAGCTGTTTAAAAGTGAAACTGATAAGGCAGCCGTCCATAGCCCATTAGTCTAGTTTCAAGCTGGAAAAGCTGCACCAAGGTGCCATTAAAATAAAATGAAAACTATTCTGGCATTCAGGTGGTTGGGTGGTTGGGTGGTTGGCTGGGTGGGCTACTACCACCGCTTGGTGGTTCAATCACGGCGGTTCAATCAGTCACGTGCCGCTTGTGTGTGGATTACCAGAAGTCAAAATCCAGCTATGATAAGAGCTACGCAAGCTGAGTGTCGGCATGACCAGCGCAATTATATTGGCCAAAAATTATTTTATTGCTCCATATTTCAAGTGAACAAAATGGCAGCGAATAGTGCTTAGGCGGTGTGCAAAATCCCAAAATGGCTGTGAACTTTCCCCTTGGTCAATGGCAATTGATTATGAATTCTGGCCATCTAACGGCTAATTGGACTTCATTGCTTTTTATTGCCGCCATATAAGCCATACTGTTTAGGAGCTTTGTGTGATTAAACATATCCCAAAGAGTAAGACATTGCCACCGATTCTATATTATATACAGTACATATCTTATCTGTATGATATCTTTGTCTCAAGACTGCGGAATGTGGTTTCTTCGGATACGAAACAGTGGATTTCAAACGATGTTATGCCAATTGCTTATGGAGTAACTTTTAGGAAGAGCCCATATATCATTAGCAACGGTTAGCTGTTATCAGCTGGACTGGAAATGTTCAACGTTTAGGGGCAAACCATTACTCATAGTTTTGTTTTAAAAACTAGCTAAGCACCAAGCCATACTCACTAATTTAAGTCGGAACTAAGGGAGAGCTGTTCCCGAAGGCACATGTAGGGATTTAGTATTCTGCGAAAGTATCTCTGGCAAAACAGAGCCATCAAAAGCCACATGTCCGCGCCCATGGGCCATAACAAATGTTTTCGCGCCCCCATTCGATTAAGTCATCCAGATCCTTTGGCGGCCAAGTGTCCAGGTGGGCGCAGGTGGAGCTACGCGGTGGCCAAGCCCCAAAACCAAGAAATCCGACGGCGACGCCGACTGCGACTGCGACGTCCACGGCGACTGCGACTGCGACTGCGGCAGCGGCAGCGAGTATATCAGTTACAGTCGCAGCGTTGGCAACGCTTATTTGCGCTCGAGCAGCGAACGTGGTAGCACAGCTTTGAGCACTAGCAGCTTACCGTCCAAACTGCGAGAAGGAAAAGCGGCAGTTTCGAAAATCCGTAGAGGAAATCGAGTTCGTAGCGGTTACTTTAATTGGCGATAATAGTAATAAAATCGAGTTAGTGCACGTTGCGCTTTCCCATTTCGAATGAAAATCTGAAAATATTGCAGTTTAGTGTGGAGAAAAGAGCTAGTCGGGTGAAACTAATTTGATAAAAACTCCGCTTTCCGCCCATTCGAAGCCGCGTGGTCAAGTGGCAGACAATTGTGCAACCTCAAGACTCTTAACCTTAACAATTATATTTCGGCCACAAAAAACTATTGGCACAATTCAGTTCGATTCGAGTGCGCGCCAACTCACTTTTACCCGCAAAAGCAATAAAGGCAAAAGCAATAAGGCAAAAAGCACGCTTTGAAAACGAAAGCAAAGCACAAGTTCCATTCAACACCCACCGCGCTTGCCAAAATCTCAAGTGGCAGCCCCCAGAAGACAGTAGGCCCAAGCCAGAAGACCGAAGACAGAAGACAGCAGACAGCAGACAGAAGACAGAAGACCGAAGACAGAAGAGAGCAAAATGGTCGAGAAAACAGGTGAGTGATTGGCGATTGGAGGCTGGAGAATGCGAACTATGCGTGTGCGTGTGTGCGAAGGTTAATTGCGAGCAAAATCGGGGGCGAAGTGGGCCAAATTGTTATGGTTTTGTGCGAAAGTTAATCCCACTCTTTGCCTGAAAAATACAACTCAAAAATGTAGAGTGTTCAATTACCAAAACTATTACCCGAAATGGCTCGCAATTTGCTATTGCCATTGTTTACCAATGAAACACCTGCTTATAAATCCTTTCTTCTTGTATCTTTTGTTATCTTCCGTGAATGAAATTAAAATTACATCAACTTGAGCACAACATTTGTAAGCAATACAATTTTTGAAAATCGTCTTTTAATTAAATTAAGTACGCATTTTGTTTATTGGGAAACAGCCCCTCTGGGATTTCACTTTCAAAGCAAACAAAGACTAACTCAAAAATATGCCTTAAATTAATCATTCTTCCACAATCAATCAACTTTAATAAGCCATCCAAAGATGTTTTGATAAATCATGATTTTTTTATTTTTCCTTTTTTTTTTTTGAGTGCTTGGGCAAATCAAAGAGCAGCCCGCTGTCGATAACGATAACGAGATGATTGGTTTTCAATAATTTCTCTGGCACAGCATGACAAAGACAGTAAATTAGCCCCCAGTTATTTTTCTATACTCAAACGATCAGACGTTGTTTTGTTGCCGCGATTTGGCTTCCGTGGCGATTGATGATGGTTTCTGTAACTGAAAGTTTGCATGACAGAAAAGCCTCGAAAGCAAAAAGATAGATAGGAGAAAACTCAGCTAGGTAAACAACAGCGGAAACTCCGGTCGGGCAATTTATGCGATGATGATGGTGATGACTGACTGCCCATCGAACCAAGTCCAGTCAAGTGAATGAACTGGGGAAGGCAGCCTCTGAGCCAAATAAATAGGAACCTCTATTTGTGCAATTAATTAAAAACCTAATTGGATGCCCTGTTTGCTCCGCCGAATTAAAGCCGATCTCTGGCGTCATTTTCGCCGCCTGTGCCGCCGATATCGTTGTGATAATGGCCATAATGTTTGCCAGCCAAGAATTCTCGGCTCCAGCTAATTAATGTCATCTATTTGAGCATCTATTTGAACAAGTGCTCAAACACAGGGCTCAGTATTTGATTTGGGTATTAAATGTGTTCAACTGACTTGGCTGCTTAATGGCCGAATGGAATTTTCAGGCCAGTAAGCAGTTGAAAACAGTCGGCTGAGGTGCGTGAGAAATTCGCGGCCCTTCTGCAAATTGTAGTACACACGAGTGGCTAATTTGAGGTGCCTCTTCCGTTCAACGTCTGCCCACCTCATAATTCAGTGCGTTGTCATCTTGGACCGACAGCTCCATCTATCTAGATGTATATATATACTGATCCATGAAGTTTTGCGGCGACAGATTCGCAGATAGAAAATTACAGTAATAATCGTGAGCGCAGTTGACATGACATCACGGTGAAATTGGCATTCAAAACAGTAGCACACTTGGGGCCAGGAAGTGGTTTTGGTACGAGCGGAGAACATTTAGACATTTGGCGCAGTTGGTGAACTGAGCTCAGTTCCAATGGAAGATCAACTTGTTTGCTAAGCGGATAGCTTATAATTAAGTTAATAAGCTGCCAGTGAGATGCAGAGAGGCGAAGATGCTCCGTTCCCATGGAAATTTTTGATGCACGTAACGTTCAATTAAGTGTACGGAATTGTGTGCACAGTAATTTGAATCTATTGATTCGCAGTAGAAGCCAAATGTAGTACAAAATTGCATCTTATTCAAATTAAAAAAATCTGTGAGAAATACAACGTTGTTGGCTTTTAAAAAGCCATCAATTAAACACCCTTTCAGCGCCCCAATTTTCCGTATCGTGTCTCAAATTAATCCCATTAATTGACAAACTTGCAAAGTTAGTCATAAACCACAAACCCCCATAAATTGCCACTGATTTATGGTGCATTGTAAACGAGTTAAGCGACATAAATTCGCTTGAGCAAAAGCCCATAAAGATTATAAGTGAGTTTGAAATTACGCCTCCCGCACAGCAAATGAGCAAACGAAAACTGAATAGTCCCTGCCATCTGACTAATTAATTTATAACGATTTTAATGGCCAGCGAACAGGTTTCGATCTTTCCCGCGACTGTTATTAATAAAATCATCACCTTGCCGTGCAAAAGTGGCCAAAAGTTGCGCAAAGCCGAAATTAATAATCCGATTAAATTGATTAATTGTTGTAGACGAAATGGGCTGAAAACAATATGCCAGAACCTTTTGTTTTGCACTTACAGATGCGAAATTAATGCCCCTGTGCTTGGCATTAACTTCAGATGAGCGACAATATTGTAATTTGCATATGTGGTCAGGAATAACGCTTGTAAATTTACACAACCCACAAAACAGGCTCTGTATATAAGACACACCTCATAGTCCTTTGTTCCAGCTCTTACCCTGAAACCCACTAAAGTTGTGCCTTAAAATTTCACTAATTTATTTCACTTTCTTGTTCATTATAAATGCACACGTGCCAAAGTGACGTCACTCAAGAAAATGACCACCTGATACCCCTTAACAACTGCCATAAGCCATTAAACTAGCTCAGAAGAATGCCTATTGCCAACCAGTCCATTTCTTCAGCTCCCAGCCCATTCTGAATGATTGGCAAACATATGAGCAGAAATGGCCATAAATTAGGAAACTTATGCCAAAATTGCGTGCCAGGAGGGAATTAATGAGTGGGGGATACGGAAAACGAGGTGAGAAAAGGCGACAGGCGATGACATTGCTCATGTTCTAATAATACGCAGATAAGTCATGGCTAACCCAACCCCAGTTCCCAATCAACATAACCAGCCAAGTGATTCCGGGCCAGGACTTGGGAGCGGCTTCCCAAGAGCCAAGCCTTTGACTTGGCCTTTATTCATGGGCACGTGTGGCCCCCACTTTGATTTTCGCCTCGGCCAAGGTTGGAGCCAAGCGCCACTGGGAGCAAGATGCACTCGGAAAAGTAGTGAAGTACTCTTCATATCAAGTTTTTCATATGCAGCTTGCATTCAGAGTTCCCAAGCCAGTTTTCTAAACTGTAAAATGGTAGTATTAGCAGAAACACGTTCCCTCCGGGAATGAAGTTCCTTGTTCGCACACCCAGTAGCTCTCAGTGTACGTGCCCCACAATGTCTCCAGGATGTGAGCACACTGGAAACAAGTCGAGCGGACATCCGCGGCCACATCGAGTCTATGGGAAGTGCAACGCCGCCTTTCCCGGGGGGTCAGACATGCACTTAACTGTCCGGGCCAACTTGGCATAGATTCCGAATCGGACACACAATGTGGACTACTATATTTGGGTCTGGACCCACTAATAACACGGTAATTATATGCAGCCTAGCCACCGCCAACCGTAGAAGGCGCTCCCAAAGCGCCTGGCTATCTGGGAGCAGCCAGCTCACCTGACTCACCTATCTTATCGGTCAGCAATTCGGAATAGTCAGTTCAGGCAATAGCCATAAATCGTTGCACTGAACGTGCTTGGCCCAAAGCGGACAGTGAGTTGAAGATGATATCTCGCCCATTGCGAAACCGTCGAGTACGGCAAGGGCCACTTGAATCCGTGGGCAAGGTTCTGGAAATGTGAAAGTGAAATTTCTCAGTGGGCGCCAAAGCTGCCACTACAGATCGTTATTTATCAGGTCTGCCGGCGATAAGAAAAGTGCTTAGATGCCTTACTACACGGTATTGGGCAGAAGCGCAGCGACCTTGACATTATAACGGAACCTGGCGTGTCTGTGGCGTAACGAATGCTCTATACCCTTGTGCTAACAGCTAAAGAGTATCTTAGTAAATCTTTTCGTTTCGGATCAGAGAGTCAATGAAGCATACACCAAGCATGTTATACTATCATATAACTGTTATAAAGTCATATAACAGTTATGAAGACTGCTTAGTAACGAAGGCTTCTTAACAGTAAGGCTTCGCATTTCGACTTTAGCAAAGAGGAACGTGAAACTCAGTCACCAAGCGATTTCAATTGTTTATATTTAATAAAATATATTGCTGTTTTCAAACACGGAAGCCGCGCAGAAAGAAAACAAAATGATGCAAAGCTCGACACGAAGCCGCTCTTTACCTGCTTTGAATTTCTAATTTCCGCCTGGCTGTGCAAAAACCTCAAACGGGACGCAGCCATTAAATCGAAATGTGTGGTAAAACAGGTACATTTTGGTATGTGGGTCAGGCGATTGGCCCAAAGACTCCAGAACGATTTTGAGGCGGTTAAATGTTATTACGCATACGCGGGCAATTTCTCGATTCGAAAGAAATGAAATGTTAAATGTACGCGTACTTGGCGCTTGTTTATGTTTCCATTTGCGATAGCAAAAAGCAAGTTTGCTTTTGATGTGCGCCCCACTAATTAATTTCGTGTCGATGGCAATGGCAATGGCAATGTCGTGTTCTGATTGATGGGCTGGAAGAATTGATGGAGTGGTCCCCAGATCTCGAGTTTATTTAGAACACACCTTGTCGCGCTAATCAAGTAGACTTGGAAGTTTACTTAGAATTCAATAACTTCTGCCGCCCCTAATTAAATTAATAACCATTCATTATGGACAATATCAAATGGTCTTCGACAAATTAAAGGCGAAATTAACAGAGATAAATCTTCGGCGCGCAAATGTATCTCGGCTGGCCTTGCTGACGGATTGTTTCTATGGCTATATGGCTTTTTGCTAAAACACACACAAAATCCAGCCAAAAGCCTCGACGTCGTCACGCCCTCACCTTCCAATTGATGACTATTGTGTGTAATTGTTGTTATTATGAATTTGTTGCCTTTTTTGTTAATACAATTTTTAATGTGTTATTGTGGCCCGGCCAAGTTATTGGGTTTCGCATTTTCTTCAGACCACTTTCAATGGCATATCAAGATGTGTGTTGTCGAGCATTAGCCGAAATCTCTCAAGGATTTGACAAGAAGGCCTACGAAGGCCGAATCGCACATGGGCCATTTAGATTTAGTTGGGTAAACGTCAGAGATAAGGTTTATTTTTAGGTAGCAGCCACTATCTTTATGGCCACCCGTTGGGTTAGTTGGCTCCCTGAAAGCAAGCCCCCACGATATAAAGCCCATCAGTTATGGAACTGATTGCTGCTGATTGCCCAAAAGGCGGCCCAAAGTTGCTGCCAATCTGAGTGTCAACTAAGCGGGCTAACACAGCCATCGAGCCAAGTGCATTTGGCGTCCGAAAGCCTTAATGAAAGCCACACAAATTGCTTGTTAATGATGCCGGGGTTCCATTGAACTTGAATCGCAATCTTCAATTCAATTGCCATGATTAATATCTGGCAGATGAAGTTATTAATTTGCCGCTGCTCAGCATTGCATTGACTGATTGTCAAACGGCGAGCGTTCAGTTCGGCAATAATTTGTGCTTGCTCGTCCCACAATGATCGTGTAATTATGTTTGACATTTCGTTATCTTTAATTAAACTCAATTTACATTTGTTTTGTCTCGGCAAATGAACACAGAGAGAACAGCGCCTGAATCAAACAAACATTCGATGCAAATAGGCCATAAATTTTACACACCTATGCTAATTGAGTTTTGGCCAATTGCGATTCTTGTCAACAGGTCGTTCTGGTTTCATTTTCCAATCTCAAAACGCACTTGTGTGGGTGCCTAGCGCCCACCAATGTGCCGATACTATCATATTTCAGCTGATAAAATGGTTATTGCTCCTATAATATTCTCTAATGGCCACTTCCTGGGCTTAAAATATTTAGCTCGAAATGCTGATAGCTGATTTCTTAAATTTACTGTCACTTTTAAAGGCTGTTTCTACTTGCGATAAAAAGTGACGCCAAAGTTGTGTTCCAAAAAGTAGCACTAGTTACTGTCGCCCCAAGTTATTTATGGCTTTCCTGGGGGTTTTGGTCGGGGGCATTCCCCGGGGATCTCTGCTCATTCAGATCACGTGGTTCTGCATCTGGCTGGCCATTTGATTTGTATTCCCCGATTCGATTTCCAACCGATGTACTCCAGTTGAATTTGAAGCGGTTAGTGCAGTTTTCGAGCGTTTTTGAACGGATGCCAGTGGCAAACCAGATTTTTATGAGTTTTCCCTGCACTGCCACTATCGCTGGCACTCAGAGTCATGGGACGCCAGATAATTGCCGTATTAAGTGAAGTGTGCGAACCTGGCGATAACAGCACCCACTTATCAGCTGGAAAAGAGGCGTTGTGTGCTGATCACTTTGTGTGATGTTCTGGTCGAGTGGCAGGCCATAAAGAACGTCTATTTGAATGCGGCTTAAGTAACAGGGTTAGGACCCATTTTTGGCTCTGTTGACAAGCTCCACTTGTTGTTCATTTCATTTAGCCCAATTAAGAGGCATGCATCGGGCTTATAAACAGCTTTATTGGCAGTGCAATCGCGGCGTAGGCAGCACTTTTTCGCAAATATTTGCTAGGACAATTAATTAACGCCCACTCATTAGCACTAGGCAATAATGACAAATGAAAGGCTTCTGTCAGGAAGTCAACACCCAAGTGCTGTTGAACAACTTAATTAATCAATCGTTGCAAATTGCTTGAACAACTGTGCAAGGCAAATAGTTTGTACAAAGGGTAAACCATATGAAGCGTGAATTATGCTACTTTAGGCATTTTGCATTGCACTTTGCTTTGTTTATATAATTTATATAATTTCTAGAAAACGAGGTGTGAAATTTCACTAGAACTTATTTGACGTAACTGCACAAAACGTGCATTTTTACAAGCTTGTTTATATTGCCTACGACGTCACATAAATACGTAGAATACCTTATTTTTGCCTTTCCCTTGTACAGACTGCAATTAAATTTTAATTTAAAATACAAAAACCTATTTGAGTTCGCCGTAAATTCGACAAAAAAAGTTCTTACATTAATTAGATACTAATTAGTTTGCTGGTTTTCCCCTGCTGGTTCAACACAGTTACGTTTATTTGTTTTCGATTTTTCCGTTGCGACTTTATTGACCAAGAATTGCATCAAACCGACAATAAGCTGACAAAAAGTAATAATTAATAATGATTTGGCATGCGCTGCGCAAGTATCAATCAACTGTTTTTGCGATCTCTGATTTCTGCGATTCGTTGCGATTACTAATCCCTGGCCTCCGTTTGGGCCGTATTTTCCATTTGCAGAAATGTCGAAATTCGTTGGCGTTGCCGACATAACCGAGAACAAGAAAATCTGGCGCATGCTGCTCGGCGAACTGGTGGGCACATTTTTCTTGATCTTCGTCGGCGTTGGCAGCACGACGAGCGGAAGTGTACCACAAATCGCATTCACCTTTGGCTTGACGGTGGCCACCATCGCCCAGGTAACTATACGCACATGGATTGCAGTTAGGATGGACCAAAGTGGGTCGGGCACTCAACGAACTCGGCTCAACGGGGCGTATGATTAATTTTTACGCAGTTCCAACTGGAACTTGTATTAAAGCGGCTTTTTGTTTCAGAGTTCCTATTCTTAATTAACATGCGATGTGATAATATGTTTATGGTCAAATTTTATTTGCATACTATTACGATTAGTCTCTAGTATCAAGTAAGAAATATTTTTGCAATATCTAAGTAATTGCTTGCCCTTTTTTAGATGATACAACGATATTACTAATAGTTTCTAGTGGCAAGATATATTTGTACAATATCTAAATAATAGTTTGTCTTTTTTTATATGATACAACGATATTACTAACAGTTTCTAGTAGCAAGAAATATTTCTGCCCTTTTTTATATGACACAACGATATTACTAATAGTTCCAGTAGCAAGAAATATTTGTACAATATCTAAATAATAGTTTCCCTTTTCTGTATGATACAACGATATTACTAATAGTTTCTAGTGGCAAGAAATATTCTTACAATAATATTTGTCTAAATAATAGTTTGCGCTTTATAGATGCTAAATATACTTATAAGTTTTCCTCCTGAAACTTTGTCCACCCTAAGAAACGCAATACAGATCACGCGTACAAAGAGAACGCATCGAGCTGCAGACTTGAGATTTGCGATCTGCTAGCCAAGTCGGAGATTTCAGGCCAGAAGTCGGCGGTGCTTGTGCCAATCGGCGGGCATTTTCAAGGACACGCCACCGCCGCGTTACACTTTCGGCTCATTCACAAACGCAGCCTTTTTGGCCAAGAGACATTGGCATTTAAAAGCGACAACATCGCTGTACCGCCATATATACGGGTATATGCAACAAAAAATACAAAAAAACAAATGGCCAGCGAATGCAGCTTGAGCGCTTGCCGGCTGCCGCTCAAAACACAGAACTGAAAACTCAAGACTGAAAACTCAGGACTGAAAACTCAAGACTGCGTGCGAATGTAATTTAGAAAATTGACAGATTTACAAACGCACACTCGCACACTCGCAGTGCGAATAATAAATGCGCGCTCGCAGCAAAAGCGTCTGCGCTGGCAATTAACATTAATCAACACGCAAAATATGCAATTAGATTATTATGCGTTTAATTACGCTATGCTGTGCGCTGCGAGTGACGACTGTTTGTCGTGCCTTAGCATTTAAAGCAATCTGCGCTTTGCATTCGATTTATTCGATTTATGGCACCACAAAAGTCAAGCTCAACCGACCGAATCCATCAAGAACACGAAAAGGCTTCTATGGGCTGCTATTTTTAGATACCTGTCTCATTAGTTTTGGCCAGTATGAATGGGAAATTCTTCGGCTTGAATTTCATTCGTAAATGGTAATTTTCAAAAACATATTCTTACTTCATCTCAGAGGGCAATTGGCTGTGTTAAAAAAGCTCTACTTACGATGGCTGATTACCTATGCCCCACGTTGGGCGCCACATATATTTTGTATATTGAAATAAAGGCTGCTTTTACATGTATGATTGTATGACGAATGTGGCTTGGCTAACTAAAACGCTTACGACGGAAAGTTGCAAGCTAATAATCATATTGAAAGCGTTGATAATTTGCACAATGAAATCAAGTAGCATATTGGCCGCATATTGGAAGCTTGTTTCTGCCACTTGCAACACATTCGCTATTAGTGGCAAATTGGCTGGCCGTCGCCTGCCGTATCACGTGAAGCGATCAGTCATGTGCTTGCCCACAAGCGGCAGCCTTTTCAGCCTTTCCACATCTCCATGAGATGCATGACTCCATGACTTGCAGCGGCGATCGATTGGACCCGCTCGAGCCCAAGAAAAGCAGTGGTATGCATATGTGCATTGCCAATTTCGCCAGCTGGTGTGACGACAATGCTCGTTCGTCATCGTCATCGTTATCGCCAAACCCCAAACATAGGTGTTCAATGGAGCAAGACGCGTGGCGTCGAATTGGAAAATAGAAAACGTGCTAATTGCCAGCGATCGAGCGCCCTGGAATGGCTAGTCCAGTATTGGTGCCAGAAATAAGTCAAGAAATATGATATTACAGGGCATCCGCTCGGTCTATTGAGTTGCCCCCCGCGATCGGCACTTCAAATGCAAATCTCTGGCGGATCGACATTTGTATGCAGTTTGCATGTGGGGATTGCTCGAAAGGCGGCAAAGAGGAAGTGAGTCAAAGAAAATGAAATTTAATGCACCTGAAAAGGCTTAGAGAAAATGGCAAACAACAATAGTACGTGCATGGAAAAATTCATATTAAGCGATTTTAATGTGGGTTGTAAATTGTCATGTCATGTTAACCGATTGTTATCGAAAATTCAGCTAGAGGATTGGCTTTTATTAGGGGTTTCAATTAAGCACATTGTTTACGTATAGGAAAATTACTTGCGGCTGATGATAAATCGTAGGAGTAGTACAACATTTTATTGTATTAATACTAACAAACCAACCGATGAGTTCAAGTAATGAAGAAATTAACATTACTTTGATTTCATTATGCAGACGTAGTTAAGGCAAAATAATCAAATGAAAAACACAAGTAAACTTGGTGCGTGCAACGTTCACGTTTTTGTTTTCAATTCGCGATCGCAATCGAATCGACTTGGTTGAACAAACTTCGACTTCGACTTTGGCTTTGGCCCAATGCGAACTTGAATTGAATTGGCCAACAAGCAGAACACAACAACAATCGCCAAAATGCCGCTGAAAAGCAGAACGAAACAAACAAGTTAGCATTCGATTTTCAGCTGAAAAGCCATAAAATATGATTTAAGCGTAAATGTCGAGCTTCGGTTTCCACTGCACATGCGTAAGCCAATCGATCTCTAAATTGTATATGCATGTATATCGCGATCGGTGGAAGAGTCTTGCCAGACTTTTTGTAGCCAACTGAAAGCCTTGAGTGCATGGAGTGTGCTGGCGCAAAATAATGAAATAGTGGTCAATTCATTTAAGATTATATAAATGATATAAAATCGTATCTCAACTTAATCGTCATCAACAGGCCATCAGGCTGGTTATCAAATCCATTCAATGCCTCCTGATTTTACAGACTGGCCAGATGGCCACCCATTTTATGGCATTTTCCAACACCGCGTGCCAGTTCAGCCTTTGTTCCTCTTCGATGTAATAATATTTGCTTCCCAGTTGCGAAAAGTTTCCTTTCTTTCTAGTCCTCGGTAATTTAGGGCTATATTACAACTTTTGAAACCGAGTGGCCAAAACAGACTGACTGAAATGCATCAAAACAGAAAAGAGAAGCTTTGTATATAGGTATACTTACAAAGTCATGGCTATCATCAAACAAAACGAATAGCAAAGCAGACATGTATATTATTAAATTAAATTGGCGTAGAATGGAATTCATAGTTCGAATCGGCATAAACTAAATGCATACAATGCGTACAGCTAAAGTCATATCGATTAATAAAGCCATTCGAAATGCGTAAAAACTGGCAGCGTAATCACATAGGCCTAACTCGATTACAGCCATATTTAATCGATGACTCACGTCCAAGTTCAGTCAGCCCATCAAAGTCGGTTTTCACACGCAGCCGGTCCGTCCGTCGATCGCGATTGCTTTCGTTGCATATATTAAATTTAATTATGGGTTGCGGGCTCGACAATAAATTTGATTAATTTCACGACTCTTCGAGTGTGTGCAACTACGTGTGTAGAGCAGCTAGACGAGTGTCTAAGCATTGGGTCGAGAACAATAGGCCTACGATTGTGGCTAAAAACTCAGATCCAGCGATTAGGTCCAGGCGGCAACTTAGTATTTTAGACAAAGTTGAAATGGCGCTGCACGCATGAGCACAGCAAAAATGTCAAGAAGTTGTTCGAGTTGTGGTGGCTGCCCGGATTTGTGTGGCCTATTGGCCGTTTGGGCCGCAAAACGCGGCTCGAACTTGCTCTTGGCGGCATTTGTAATTAGCGTTTTGTGGCCGAACAGCCAACACACGGCCATTATTCGCGCATTTATTAATTAAACGCAAAGCGACGCACGACATTGGCCGTGCGGCGAACTGCGAACCGCGAACTGCAAAATCCATATCGAAAATGGAAAATCGAAAATCGAAAATCGCATTCGTATCACCAAAACGCAAAGAGATTTCAAACATAGAAGCCTGCACAGCGACCTTGGCCAAAGTGAGCAGAGTGCGTTTCGGGCTCCATTCATAACACTTGATCCAATCCAATCCAATCCAATCCAATCCAATCCACTCCACTCCAATCCAATGCGATTGGATCCGATCATCTGGTTGGCTTGGATACCCATTTAAGTGGTTCCATGTGATCTCTCCGCGGGCAATGACTCAACAGAACCCCGCATCACTTTTACTTTCCAGCCAGCGCGACCTGAACTTTGCAGACACGCTAAACACAATAAATGCACTCGAGTGCATCTCAGGCCTGGCAAATTGCTTGTATCCGCTGGCAGTTCGATATGCCGGCGGTTGTGCAACGGAAAATTCGGAAAACTCGGAAAATCGCACAATCAGCTCCATGACAAAGGGCAAACTTTAAGCGCAGATGGTTAAGATGTTGCGTTGTCAACTCGACATTCTGGCGGAGATGGGCCATTGTGTTTGACTGAGCCTTACCCCACCTAAATTTAAGTTGTTCCTAATACCTAAGTGATCATAAGGGAAATAAATTCTATAGTATCCCTTAATTCTTGTTCTTTTTTCAGGGCTTGGGCCACCTCAGCGGCTGCCACATCAATCCGGCCGTCACCCTTGGATTCCTCATCGTTGGCGAGATCAGCATCCTGAAGGCCGCCTTCTACATCATCGTCCAATGTGTGGGAGCCATCGCTGGAGCGGCTGTGATCAAGGTGGCACTCAATGGCGTGGCTGGTGACGACCTGGGCGTGTCCTCCTTCGATCCCTCCCTGCACAGTGCACAGGCGGTGCTGATCGAGGCACTGATCACCTTTGTTCTGGTGTTCGTGGTGAAGGCGGTTTCGGACCCTGGACGCCAGGATATCAAGGGATCAGCGCCGCTGGCTGTCGGCCTGTCCATCACCGCTGGCCATCTGTGCGCGGTGAGTACGATGTGTAGGAGTACTCCGGCTGGAGGGTAATGAGTGTACGATTACTTACAGATCAAACTGAGCGGCGCCAGCATGAATCCCGCCCGGTCCTTTGGCCCCGCCGTTGTGCAGGGCATCTGGGCCTACCAGTGGGTTTACTGGGTGGGTCCCATTGCCGGCGGCCTGCTGGCCGGAGTCATCTACAGATTGGTCTTCAAGGTACGCAAGGGCGATGATGAGACCGACTCGTACGACTTCTAGACCGTGGCCGAGTACCGTCTATGTATTCCTGTAAATGTGCGCACCTGCTTCCTTCCCATTCCCATCACAAAATCGCTTTCCATTTAGCCAGATTCACATCGAATTCGTTGCCGAAATTTCTCGTAGCTTGGGTTTGCTCCAACATCACAACCAGCTAGAATTTTCCACGCAATTGTACCTTTTAAATTGTTATTTGAATAAGAAGGCAAATGTCTCGTTTTAGTTGTACCGCGAAGCCACTTTAAAATACGCAATATTGTATTTGAGTAATTTTAAGCTAAATTATATGCACATCATCATTACGCGAATCGAGGGAAAACTGTATTGAAGCTTAACTAAATTTTACTGCGACAGCACTTTCGAAACCAGCGAACAGGTGGATTACCTATGTCGTTGATCGCCGCTTGCTGAGCACCTGCGAATTGTATTATGACTATGTGTAATAAAAAATATTAAGAAAATACAACCGTCCACTTTGTCTGAATGTCCTGGGGCTTCACTCATTGTGAGTCACCATCAGTGGTTTTATTAATATTATTTACTAGCACACCATCCCTAAAGCAACTGGTATTAATTGAACTAAGTCCGGAAGAACTTGGTCTTACTGATATGTTTATAAGTGAGATCAAAATGAGAATGATCACACAACACAGGCAATCATTTGGTGACATTTTCACTAATTTTGGAGTATAGACCTATGCTGCCTTTGGAAGCAATCTAATTTGGGAAATTCAATTAATTCAATGGAATGTAGTTTTGTTATCCTTATGCTTTCGGTATTATAAATTATGTTGTTATTTTCACTTTTAAATTAATGGAATTATATATTATCAATTATGGAATGGAGAAGGGCGTTTAAATGTGCTATTACCCGTAGCATCATTAAAAAACACAAAATATAAACACAAAGTTTAATTAATACATTTTAATACATTAAGAACAACACAATTTCATTGAGTTTTTATTGATTTATGAGCATTATTTAGCCATCCGGTTGCTTTCTCTTTAAAATGACTACTTTTCTACATAGTGAAATGTATCTTACACACAGCTAGCCGAGAAACGAACCTATTCTGTATTTTAAAGTATTTTCCAATATCAACATCCAACACTAGAGGGCGGTAAACATAACTTTAGTAACAGTCGAATAATTCAAAATTATTCTTTATGAATTTTGTAATTCTTTCCGTGGAGCGGTTTTAGTATTCCCGAAATTAAACTGTAGATATTACACAACTTACATAGGAATTTTTTGAGTTATTGCCTTTTCAACTACTCTTACTCACTTAATTGGCCAGTTTGTAAAGACGAAAAGTCGGATAATAAAGTATTACAAGGTGAGTTGCGCATGCGTGCTTACAAACCCGCAAGTAATTGCAGCGATCCAAAATGCCATTTTAGCCTTAAATTCTGATAAGCGATTTCGGAACACAAAAATGTTCAGTGTGTTTGCTCAACCAACCATTTTGTAGACGCCAGGAATTTTTCATTACCAAGAAGCATCACCAACCAGATGGAGAATAACGCCTGAAAGTTTGATAGAAATGCTGGAGAGCTGATTAAGGATTCCGGACCCTGGGCGAATCACATTTCACCAGTTGTTATCCATATCACCGTATGGCCATATCATCCATGTAGTAAGCTCCACCAAGCCAAGTTGAAAGTACACGTAAGTTGGAAACAAGTAAAGTAAAATGAAATTAAGCAGGAACATGTGCTACAATTTATTATAAATGCTGAGTAATTCCAAAAACACAAGTCTTGTATTCACTAAAATGTTAATTAACCAATAATAAAAAATCGCTTTAATTTGAAACACTCAGTTATATGATATTGAAAAGGTAGGAGCACCGGAAATAAACTTTATTTTTTGGTCCGGTGAGCAATTTTCGTATTTACTTTTCAAATACAGTTATTTAGTCAACCAAACATTTTTAAGTGCCAGCATCTTATTTGTATATAATTACTTGGCGTTGGGTTTTTGTCATCTACTGTTCTGTTATCAGCCCTTACGTTTTGAGTGTGGGTAGGTCGCTATAAGTAAGTGTGTTAATGACTGCAGCTCTAGAGCTAATACCCAAGAACCAGCTACTCGGGACAGGCGATCGGTTTCAGTGCTCGATCCAATCCGCTCACGTCAACACAACACGCTAAAAATGAAGTCCGCTGTTATTTGCTTGTTCTTTATCGCGACTGCAGCTTGGGATGTACAGGCAGAAGTTCCCACCTATTTGGAACCGCCCACTATTGGAACGACGACCACAGATGCACCTGTAATGACCACCTTAGCAGAGGAGACAACAACACAATCCTTTATAACTACAACAACTGCGCCCAGGACCACAACCGAGTCAGCCCCAACTTCAACAACAGAAATATCCAATCCTCCAACAACAGAAATATCCACCACTCCAACAACCGCACCAAGTACTACAACTTCAGCAACAGAGACCACCACAGCTACAACAACAGCACTCACCACAACTAATGCAATACAAGACCCAGCAACTACAACGACCGAACCCAACACAGCTTCTACAACCCAAGGGGATCCAATATATCCCATATATCCGACACACAAACCTCCCTACGTGCGGCCTACGAATTCAGGGAGACCTCCTTATTATCCCACAAACCCCTGGATCTGGAACTATGGCAATCCGGCAGTAAAGTGTTATCTGAAAAATGTGCAGGAGTACAGAAGGGATTATTATGGTATGTGATTATTATGATGAAGAATCATATGCTTCATTTGTGTAATTTACAATATGCAGGAATGGTCTGGCAACCGAAGACAATTTGTTACCACTGCTGCTACTACGTCCATAACAGAATCGACGGATGCAATCTAGTTCACCAGGGACCGTGTTCGTGGCACGATCATGCTAGATGGATATCTTCAAATTCCTATGTGTATTAAATAAAACTTTTAAAAGTAATTTGTATATATGGGGCTTTGAAAATTTTTTTCTTTTTTCTAAGAAAATGGCAGAATATATAGGAATTTAAAAAATAAAACGTTGAATAGCATTTTCACAATAATTATGTATCACAATTGTATATACATATGTACTTTTTATAGCTAGCCAAGACATTAACCCTGACAAACATGTGTTCGTCTACCCAACTCTAGATGGCGCCAAAAGCGGGCCCTAGCGTAAGTCGGATATCGACGACTAAAAAGATATGTATAGTTCGAGGAGTGATTGTGCAGCTCCTTTTATTGTTCGTTTATATATTTCTGCAAATTAAGTCTGAAGCCAAACATTGTTTTATCCAATTCTCAAGAGTCCTAACTAGTCCAAAGTATAGACATTGCCCAAATTGAGGAAGCAGTCCTTGAGATGCTGTTGGTTCTCACAGAAGTCGGGAAAAGGAGGGGCCAGCACTTCATACATGATCCTGATAAGATCAATGAACTTGGCCAGAGCCTTCAAGTACTCGCCCGTTTCGTACAGCCTCTTGGCTGTGCGCGTCATCATCTCGGTGTCCTGCATCACCTTTAGACCCTTCAGGATGTTGGTTATCTCGCCACAGGTCACGCACTTGACCATGAAGTCGTTGCAGCTGGGTGGCACTTCAATGATCGCAGAGCAATTGTTTGGGGCATCGCAGCGGAAGCGAATCACATCCCGAGGAAGATCGTCAAACTTGGGCCAATTGTCAATGCAGGCATCGCAGGAGCATTCGAACCAGTAGAGCTCCTTTAAACGCGCCTGGCGCTCCGCTCGTTCGTCCTGTGTGTACATGGGACCGTAGTTCTCATTAATCGGCAATCCTGCTTCGATGGGTCGTACGCTGTTGATATGAATGGTGGTGCCGCGGAAGTATCGCACCACGCCAGGATCACAAGAGTGGTTGAACAGCGCCAGGGTGGGATAGATGGCGCCACCTATGAAGATCGACTTCTCCCGCCCGGAGGAGCTAAACTTATGGAGCTCTGCCACCTCGTGGGTGTTGAACTGAATGAACTGCAGACTGCGCAGCACCAAGGAGCAAATGATTGACACCTCAGCTGGCTTGGGCTCCGCTCCAAAATAACCCCCTGCCCGAAGACAATGGGTGAGGAAGCGGGCCATCAGGACGTGCTGAAAGAAGTTAGATGGCTGGCGCTCACCCTGATGCCTCTCCAGCTGGGCAACTCTTCGGAAGTCATCCTTGGGCAGGCTAGAACCGTTGAAATACAGGAATAGATATATGTAAGCGGAGGGAGTTAATAGATAAACCTACCTGATTAGCTGTTCAGGTGTCAGCTCCTCGTCAATAGTGGGTTTCAACTTGAGGAAATAATCCAAGGGTTTGCTAGCAATGATTCTCAGAGCAATGTGGTTGTTAATGGATGCGCCCGATCTCCAGATAATGGGCACTATGCCGCACTCGTACTTGTGGTACTTCTTAGAGGCCTCCTGCCGACATTGCTCCGAGCAATAAAGCACATCGGCGCATCGAGGACAGGCCACAGGCACCACAGTTCTAGACAAGATGCAAGGTTTTAAGAAATTCTATGTGCCAACGGATATAGGGATACCTCATGAAGCAGTTCTCGCAGTGGGTCTTGGCAAACTTCTCCAGCAACACAGAGACAAAAGGTCGCTCCACTAGGAGCTCGTCGCCAGGCTTCACATCTGCTGAGGCTCTGGCAAAGCGACCCTCCTGTCGATTGCTATCAATGCGCACCAGTGGACTCACGAACTCATTCTCCAACTTGACTGGCTTGGCCTGATCCAAAGCTATCTTCTGCTTTTGCTGCTTGGCCTCCTGCTTGGCAGAACGTGGATCGTTTTGCAGCATCTTAATCATGGTCATGGCATCCAGGTTCAGCTTGGCACGCTTGTCAGAGGCCAGTGTGGAGTCATCCATGGCGGTGATGCACTTCCTTCGGGAAAAATTAAGTGGTTAATGGATGAGTTGCAAAAACGAACAAGTCTCACTTGAATGATTCAATTGTGTGGGGATAGTCCTTAAGGGCCAAGTAGCAACGGGCCTGTCGTTCGTACAGCTTATAGATCAAATCCTTGGGATAACTTAGATCTAAGGCTCGTCTTATATCAATCAGGCACTCTCTGAAAATAAGCAAAATGTATGAGTTATCTATTAGAACTCATTGTTTCTAAACTACTTACTGATATTTCTGCATGTGGTACAGGGTAGCTGAGCGATTGGCTAAAACCACACGAATCTCCGCCACTGAAGAAGAGCCCAACCAATTAATTTATTTTGAATAAATTAATAAGAATGTGCTAACCACTCACCATTTTCACTGGGCAGAGCCACATAGCTCCTGGTATAGAGCACCATGGCCTCCAGCCACTTCTTGGCCTTAAATGCAGCGGTGGCCCGCTCCTTGATCTCCGCCGCCAGAGAAGCGCTCTTGCCGGCGAACTCCTGGTTCACCACCAGGTTGGCATCCCCCGCCTGCACCCAGGGCAACTTTTCCACATAGGCCACGCGCTCCTCATCGCTCTTGCACGTTGATAACTTGGCGATGTCCGACTCGCAACTGGGTCCAGCCTGATCCTTGAGCTTCAGATAGTATTCGGCAAAGAAGCCCGTCGTCTGGCTAAGTGGAGTTTTCATTTTGGCTATATACTTTCACCTCTAAATTATGCAAGTTTATAACACCAATTTTTCACAACTATTTTTCTGTACTCTCGGCTAGAAAACTGCAGATGAACTGAATCCGTATATCGGGAAAATTCGACGACAACGTGTGGTATGAAGACAGCATTTTGTGGACTATTTTTAGAAGAAGAGAGTGCGCCAAAGAGAAATAGAGAAAGGGGCCAGAAATGGTGAGAGCGGAGAACGCCCCACGTTTGTTTACTAACAAAGTGGTTGCGTTGGGTTGTATTTGCCGAACAAGGAAAAGCATTTATGATTAATTAAAAAAGGGGCAACAAAATTAGCAAGAAAACTGCCGAATGTGAAGTGAGATTTTTGGCAACAGCGGGTTGTTCGCCTCTTTAGCTCAGTGGCAGAGCACTGGTCTTGTAAACCAGGGGTCGTGAGTTCAATCCTCACAGGAGGCAGATGGGAATCCCATTCTTCAACTCGTTCCTTGATATCTCCTTTTATTTTGCTATTTTATCAAGGACTTATAATAAATTACCTGTGATTAATTTAATACCATTAATAACAACCGTTTTCAAAAAAAAAAAAATATAGCATTCTTCATAAAATGCTTATAATTAAAATAATGAAAACAATTTGCTAAAGCGTAAGTAATGAAATTCAACAAAATTTATATTTCCTACAAACTATTTTTCATCATTTTCTGATATTCAGTAAATCTGATAGTTAATATACACACTTACATACATGCAGAAATATAGCTAGTATCAAATTCCATAAATTGTGTTCTATTAAAATATTTCTTTTAACGAAAAAACCATTGGCATTCTAAACACAGTTCTGAAATAGAAAACTAAAATAAAAAAAATGCATCAAAAAATCAAGTAGGTTTTAAAAGCTGCCTCCTGTGAGGATTGAACTCACGACCCCTGGTTTACAAGACCAGTGCTCTGCCACTGAGCTAAAGAGGCTTGGGCAAGGCGGCCGGCAAAAGAGAAACTTCAACCAAACGCCGTGCGCTGGCATTGTTGTTGTCTGTTAACGTTTGTTTGTGCGCGGGTAGTTCAAAAAGTTGTAATTATATTTGCCTTGTACTTTGAGAAATTAGCTCCATGACAAAGGAAATGAATGTTACCCTTATCTTGCATCGCGGCACTTGATAGAACAGCCAGCCAGCTGCTACACTTCTTTGGCTAATGAAGACAAGTGGATGTTCAAAAAGAATTGCGGGTGTGCAACTTAGAGCGGCAATTTGTTATGGGTAAACTGAGAAGAATTGACGTGGGAAGTGGTAGATACAACACATAATTGTGTCACTGGGCTGCAGCTGAACTTAACTGCATATTGCCCAAGACACAACTGTACTTTAAATTCTATTTCACAAATGTTTCCCATATCGAATTACCTTTGCTCAAGCCCATTGGCATTTAGCTGTATGCAAATGCGTTAAAGAAAAGGTGAAATGCGTAAATTACAGTGTCAACATTACAACGCCCACTTTGGTAAAAATTCGAACCGCTTTTTTCGGGGTGTCCCGCCGTGAAAATGCATTATGTGCAAACGAAAGCGAAACCCAATACTCCTGGTAAGGGTGCACAATATGCTGTACAAGTATGCAAATTTCCTTAAGCTGTTGAATAGCGCCCCGCTTTTGACTTTACGCATTTGTAACCCCTTTTTTCGTAGAGATCCCTCTCTCTGCGTTAAGCGATTCCAGGCAGTAGTGTTGGAAAGTACACATTTATGGATGACAACTGGACATGACAGCTCGTGCATCTCGTCTCTGTCATCAATCATCAATCATGGCGGAATAAAGGGGTGGTCTATGTCTGTGTCTATGTCAAAAACAATGTAATCATCAGGGCTTACAGCGGATCGGCAGCTGTCACTTGTACGCACAGTGGCTTGTAGTACAGTAGAGCCACTCAAAGGATGCCCCGTGTGGTCCTGATTGAACATTGTCAATAGTCGTAATCGCAATGTTTATGAGCTGTCATCCCAGGCGCATAATATTTATCACTCTGCGAGAGTTGCATCCTCGAAGTTGCAACCCCTAATCATCCCGGCCTAGTGGCACTGCATTTCTGCCTTTTTCAATGCATTTCGAATCGCTTTCGTCCAGTTTTTGACCCTGGTTTGCCCTGCAACTGGCCAATGCGAATGCAAATTCATGCGGAATAAAATGTTGCATCCCCCCAACACCCTTCTTTGTCAAGAGCCGCCCGTTAATTACAGTGTATTTTGTTATTTCCTCTTCCCCAGCCCACCTTTTTTTATTCTTTATAGCTCTCGGTCGCTCACACACATTTGTGTTATCAAACTTCCGCTGCATTTGCGTTTTTTGTTTGTTTTTATACCCTTCTATGGGGTTCATTCACGTCTAAACACTTTTGGTAGAACTTTCAGTTTGTTTGCATTCTCCTTTAACACATTCAATATTTGTCAATTGCCTTTTAATGACAGCTATTGACTCGAAAATTGATTTTTGATGTCACTGGGTTACATTACGACGATACTTATTGAAAAATGCAACATTTCTAAAATATAGTTCCGAATAAAAAAGAAGTTTTTGATACAATTAAATTAAATATATTAAATGAGAATATAAAAAAAAAAATAAAACGAAAATAGCTATTTCCAAAGAGCATTCAAAACATCGACTTACCTAGAGTTAGCACTCTTTTGCATTGTTTTTTTATTGCATTTTTTATTTTGCAATATACTTAACTTCCGTTTTGCATTTTCGTTGTACGAGTATAGCTGCTTTTGTTAACTTTGCGCTGTTGTCTGAGTTTGTTTTTCAGGTATTCATGTCAACTTGATTTGCACTGAATACTCACAGCCCGTTCGCAGACAACAATCAAATAAATCCGAGATTAATTACAGCAACTAAATTGTGTTTAAGCCAGGCTGAGCACCTTCCTGCCTCAGTTTGTCGCCAGAAAAAACCGCTGCTAAAATAATTAGAAACCATTTTTCTCTTCCAAGCCACATGCATTTCAATTGCCGTCAAATGTCATTTGGTGGGCGACGCATTTGGCTGTTGACATTTGAAAAACGTCATAAATAATTTATAACAGACTTTTTTGCATTTTGGCCATTGTCTGAAAAGTCTTGAAAATGGATTTTATGGATCTTGTACTTGATTGCCAGCTGGGGCTTTTTCGTTGTTTATGTGCCAAGTTTGTTTTTATGCAAATTAAAGTGTGCCACTTAATTAATTTTGAACGATCGGATAAGCATTTAAATAAATTAAGGTCTGAAGTGATCGGAATCAAGTTGTTTACAAGTTTTTGGCTGATTTGTAAGATTATTATACCCTTTACTTGTGGAGTTAAAGGGTGTACTAGATTTGTTGAAATTTCCTATTCGCCCTTTGGCTGGATCTGCATTTTAAAACATTGATTGTATTAAGTATTGGCTATAGTCTATATGAGTATGAAAGTTTGAAAAATGTTTTGATTCCACTATCTGAGTAATGGGTATCCTATAGTCGAGGAACTCGATTATTGCGTTCTCTATTGTCTCATCTAAATTTCATTGAGCGAAGGTAAATCACACCGATAACCCTTGCTCATCAACAAATTTGTGACAATAAATTCAATAGTGACTTAAAAATTAGTTAGAAATAAAATATGGATGTAGCTTTGTGTGTCAGGCAAAAGTGTTTGAACCAGGAGTTTAAATTATTTTTTTAGGCGGGCAGTGCTAATGCAATTCTTCCCAAGCGATGAAGTGTTTATATAGAGAAATGTTTCAATGGTTCTTCGTCGACACAAAGGAATTGTGTGATTGAAATTGGTGAAGCACTCTTTCACTCACTTTTTCAATCAACACTCATTGATTTGGGGTTTTCCAAATGTGTCGTTCATTGTACTTTTTCCTGAGCCGCCACTTGTCCGTCAACGGAAGGAGTCAAATTTCCATTAAACACTCAGCTTGAGTTTTCATTCAACTCTTTCGGCTGCATTTCAATGGAACAACAAGCATTTTCTTCGCGAGAATTTTCCTCTCAGTGATTTCTGATTTCCTTATGCATTTCCCGATCAACCAATAACCCTCTTCGCCACATGAGTTCCCCTCTTTCTTCGCTAAAAAAGTCGCTGGGTCAATGGAGGTGCACAAAGGCCCTAATTCAATTTGAGTTCCATTAGCGTAAACGCATTGCGTGTAAAACTCTTCAGACCGAAATCAGTACAAATTAATTAAAAACTAAAAATAATAAAAAACAGACGAAAAGAAAGCAAAACACGAACCGAAATGCACTGCAATGCGAGTGTGTGTGTGTTGTTTACAAAGGCAAACAAAGGAAAGTGCTTCAGCTCAAGTGGAAAACAAAAGCTAAATGAAATGAATTTCCAATCCAATGAGGGGGTTGAAAAACCAATTTTTCAAGAGCGGCGTCGGCGGCAGCTGGCCAAAAAGCAAAAGGTAATGGGAAAAAGGGGAAGGGCGGAAAAGGCACGTGGCGCATGCGCAGGACCTCGATTTGGGTCGGGATCATAAGCTGTTACATCCAGCCGGTCGCAATACAGTTACAACCTGAGATTGATTGGTGCGAGGGGTTGAGGATGCGAAGTGACAGACTGTGACGGATTGCCTCGAGCGGATTGCCCACTCCCCAGCGCCGCAATGCATTCCTTTTTCCATTGTCTGCGATCCTTTTTTGGGATGCTAATGACGACGGAACCATTGATGCAATGTCCTTTGGCTGTCAGCGCGTATTAGCCTCATATTTCTTTCTGGTGTCTCTTTTTTCAGGCAATTTTACACTAAATCGGGCAATTTTTTACCCAATTTTTTGTGTGCTCATTGTGATTGCTTGACACTTTTCGGATTGATTGGTAACAAAGAGCAGAGACAGGGAGTATTAGTCAGCTTAATGCGCATGCGAAATCCTTTTTTGCGGTTTAGCTGTGCTCGTTTTAATGCGATTTAATGGCAATTTGGGCACCTCTGGTAATTTTAGGCAATTTATTTATCCCTCGACACATTTACAGCAGCTGTTACAATTTTACAACTCAGCACGCGACAGTTGCTTGCCCTTTTCCTGGCCCGATCCTGCTGTGTGTGTGTAAGATCTTCGACTTTAGGGCCAACATATGGAACCTAATCGATTGTAGTTTCT